TGGGACAGTGCAACGGTTATAGTAAGTACATGCTAGTTGCCACATGCCCAAATTTGGACCCTCTGACCATGGGGCTGTTGCCATGGTCATAAGTGTGAAAAACGGTCATAAGTCACTTTTTTCTGGGCTGTTGTAACTTTGAATGGTCACTAGACAAATGGTTCAGCTAAATTGATAACTACCTGTAATTCTAATATAATTTCAAGTATTGCTAATTGATAAGGTCAAGTCCATTCTACAAAATTTTAAATGTAGTAATATGAAATATAGTTTGTTCCAGAGTTAAAAATTAAAAGAGGAAAAAGAAAGGGGACCAATCACGTCTTAGATTTATTTCCTGAATCACAGCTTAAATTGGGGTGGGTGGATGTCAAACTGGCAGCCTGCGGGCCGCATGCATCACGTGCAAGCCACGCCCACCCCAGCTCGGTGAAGGGGGAAAACGTTGAGAAATGTCACGTGACGGCAACGTGGCATTGTGAGTTTGATATTTGTGGCTTAGATGAAACAGCAGAAAGAGGAGAACAGTTCATTTGAAGCTGGGACTTGAGGCCGAGTAGGATAATGTTTAGGATTGAGTAAATTGGGTTAGGTAAATTGGGTTCACATCCTCATCCTCTCAAGCAAAGTTGTGACAAAATATTCAGTAGCTTTCATTCCATTTTTATAAACAGTGAATTGTTTCTCAATCTTGGTAACTTTAAGATATATGGATTTACAACTCTCAGAATTCCCCAGTCAGCATGCTGGTGTATATTACATAAATCTAAATAAATCATTATCGATCTTAATTTTGCTTGATGGAGACAAGCCACAGTTATAAAACAATACAATTTTAATTGAACGTAATTAACATTAACAAAATTATAATTTATCAACAAGTTTATAGTTTCAGCTCTTTGGCAAACACAACAGGGAGAAACAAACAGATTATGCAAGTTGGAAGATTTTAGCGACTCATTCTTCTAATTGTAAACTCTCAAAATGCACTTTTAGGCGGCTGCCATTTAGGATCTAGATTTTGAATAATTTGTGTGTTTGTGAATATTTATAGTTGCCCGAATTCTTTATTAAATTGGATTATTTTTTCAGTATATGTTTAGAGCATTGCGGGATTGTGTACCAGCTATGATGCACTCAAGGCATTTGGACTCCTTTGAAATACTTCTAGAAAGCTATGACAGAGAAATCATGGATGTTTTCGATAAGGTTAGAGGGAATGTATTGTATTTATTCTGAATTACACCTGTATAAGGAGCGTGTATTCAAATCTATTATGGATTAACAGGACTCTACATAATGTTAAATATACAGTAGTCTAGTAACTCTAGGTGTAAGTAAGCTAAAGAGTACCAATTAATATGTAATTTATTGTAGACCTGTAGAAAAATATCTTACTGTATTAGAATTGAAATATTAAATATAATTATAAGTAATTTAATATTAAATTTCTATTTTAATTTTAATAGTTCAATCATTATTATTAATCTCAGTATGTACAGATAATTTCAGGTTGTTAAAGTTAATAAAATTTGCTTCTTAATTATTGGAGGTTAAATAAACCTTCAATGTTTATTTGGTTCTTTTTAAAGCCATTGCTCAATTATTGTTTTCATTTAGACAAGAGATTATTTAGTTGTAGCTTTTTTCCTTTTTTTAAAATGAAAGCATATATACTAAATGTTCTCATCTTATCCATCCTCTACTTCCTCTCTCTTGGCCCTTTGGATGGAACTTGTGATAGACAATTAATGCATATAAATTTATTCTTATGGTTCAGATAAAATATTCACATGGCTGATAATTATTTGTCAGTAACCAATAATTAGGATGTAGGGAAAAAGGCAAAAAATGTTGTATCATAGATATTTATAGTATTTGCTTAATATATTTATGGCTTAGAACATTATTTGAAAGCCAAAATGGGGAGCCATGAGAAATTGTCTTACTTCTTGCAGGAATGAACCTGCACATAACTAGCAAGACTACAGTATACACACACACACACACACACACACACACACACACACATGCTGGTCTTGTTGTATTTGGGTCTTTTCCCGTG